TTTCTCTCCCCATATCCAGTCCTGTGCAAAGCATGATGGGAAGTGTAAAACTTATTTTGAGGTACTTGATTGAAACATGTTCTTTCAAAATGAAAACATCGAGTTAAGCCAAACAGCAACCATTTCAAGTCAGTTTAACAAGATGCAGTCATGTTTGAATGACAAACCTGATACATGGTGTTAAATCAAAATGAATTGTTTAAATAAAGTGATCAGCATCAAAAAATATTTTTGAGTGTGTACATTTCATACAGTGTGTGTGTGTCCATCAGCTAAACACAGCAGGAGAATTAACACAACAAATCTGACTGTACAGTTATATCACTGACTTCTAAATTAATACTTCAAACCAGACATGCACACACAAACACAGTGCACTTCAACTATAGTCTTTAACACCATAATTATCTCAGCAAAGTACAGTGATATCCATCAGCATGCAGCAGAAATCGTTAAGAGTGATTGACTCCCATTGACTGCAGCAAATTATAAAAAAAAAATCAAAATAACTACTGCATAGTGGCTCGTAGACCAACAGATCTAATGAAACTGTTAATATCAACATTGTGCTCCAGCCAGAGAGTCTTCACCACGCTGAGGAGCCGAACTGAGATTTAATTAACACTTCATTTAATTACTGGGGTTGATTACAGTTGTAAAATGCTGCCTCTGAGATTTTTCCATAGATGGGCTGCTGTCCACTGATAATTCAGCTGGTGAGCAGAAACATTATAATGCCAAATTGATTAACTTTGAAATTTGACTTTTTTTTTTTTTTTAAGTGATGTACTGCTACTGCAGCCAGTCTCCATGGAGCATATTAGCTATAGCAGATGCACTGTGGGAATAACTGTATTTTCAGTGTTGCTTGCTGTACCTCTTGGCAGCTATGATATTAAAGGAACAGTTCACCCAAAAAGGAAAAATTGCTGAAAGTTTGCTCACCCTCAGGCCAGCCAAGATGTAGATCAGTTTGTTTCTTCATCGGAACAGATTTGGAGAAATTTACCATTACATCACTTGCTCACCAATGGATCCTCTGCAGTGAATGGGTGCCGTCAGAATGAGAGTCCAAACAGCTGATAAAAACATTACAATAATCCATAAGTAATCCACACGACTCCAGTCCATCAATTAACGCCTTAAGTGATAAGCTGTGTGTTTGTAAGAAACAAATGCATCAAGGCATTTTAACTTTAAACTTTCACTTCTAGACAAAATACGAGTCCATAATCCATAATATTGCATCCTTCAGTCCAGCCCCTGTTGTCATCTCACATCAAAATCCACTGACACACTTGTTTAGAACTGTTTTGGACTGTTTCCACTTGTAAACAGTGCTTTATCTGTACATATTTCTCTCCTGATACAGATGAGATGACATTTTAACTGGAAAAAGCAATATTATGAATATAATGAATTATGGATTTCATATTTTTACAATTAATGATTGTAAGTTAAAAATGTCTTAATAATGGATTTATTTATTACAAACACACATCTTTTTGTTTCATAAGACATTAATTAATATACTGGAATCATGTTTTTATCAGTTGTTTGGACTCTCATTCTGACAGCACCCATTCACTGCAGAGCATCCATTGGTGAGCAAGTGATGTAATGCTAAATTTCTCCAAATCTGTTCTGATGAAGAAGCAAACTCATCTTAGATGCAAGGTGAGTGTGAGTAAACTTATAGCCAATTTTCATTTTTGGATGAACTATTCCTTTAAACCCCACAACCTCTTACTCTGACAGCCGAGACCTTTAAGTGTGATACAAAAGAATCGTTGTACCTATAACTGCTTACCTAGAGCACTTTTACATATTTCATTCCCAACACTTTTCACTGATGTGGTCAGGGTTAATCTAAATCTATTTTTAATGACTGTAATTGTCCTGCCTTCTTGTGCCTTGCAAAACTTTTGTCAGAGTAGATGCCATATTTATTTTGATGTGAAACAGTCTGTTTTCCCTAATCAAACCTGATGCATTGGACCGTTACCTACTAATCATGTCCATGTTGCCCTCTACACTGTAATACTAATCTCAGGACAACTTTACACTATCATTGATAACAGCAACTGATTGTTCTGAAGGTTTTGATTACACGGCAGGACCGTCTACAGTGTCAGCGATCAAGTACTAGATTGAAAAATACATTATTAATCACTCAGACATAAAAACATTTAACTGACCAGGCAGCCTGCTGTTATTGATCTCTGTGCATGTGTGAAAATCTCCACGAGCAAAAAGGTCCATAAATGTGTTCTGTGTGTGCCTGCTCTACACATAAAGTAAGGTTTCTGCAAGTAACTGGATATTGTGTCATAGGCTTTGCTAGACCCCATTTATTTTATTTATAATTTTTCTTTTTAATTTGCACTGAATTCAGCCTCAAAATCTGTGATCTCTCTACATGTTTGCTGAAATCAGCAGCTGCAGCAAGTTGTCGGAAGATAGTTGTCTTAAACTAAACTTTGTTATATTAAGTGCCATCTTTCCTTCAAGTCAAATGGCAGACCATGGCATATGTAGGCCAGCAATGTTTGGCACAGAGGTCTGCCCCCACAAACAGTGCTCTACTTCTCTGTTACTTTCTGTTCCACAAAACAAAATGCACCAAAAGATGGTACCTTTACTTACATAGTTATGTCAAAAAGTATTTGCATATAAATTTTGGACCCATATGTCACACTTAAAAAAGTCTGCATTTCATTGCATTAGATACAAAATATTAAACCAAGTCATATCTGCAAACAAATGATGCTGGAGCTTTCTCTGAACTAACGTCACTTTTCTGAGATGTTTTTAATTATTTTTAACCAATTGCTCTCAAGGGCATTTTTAGTGGATGTATGAAGTCAGCTCCCCTCAAATTCACACATGTTCTAGCAGAATAACTACTGGTGAACTTCATTAAATTAACAATATACTGTCAATTTGAGCAAGGATGCATTAAATTGAACAAAAATGACAGTAAAGACATTTATAATGTTACAAAAAAAATTGTATTTCAAATAAATGCTTCTTTAAAAAAAGTATCACAGTTTCCACAAAAATATTAAGCAGATGTTTTCAACATTGATAATAATAAGAAAGTTTCTTGAGAAACATTCTTGGAATGATTTCTGAAGGATCATGTGACACTAAAGACTAGAATAAAATCAGAAAAATACTTTGATGAACTCAAAAATCAGCTTTACAATCACAGGAATAATATACAATTTAAAATATATTCAAATAAAAAAACTGTAATTTTAAATTGTAACAATATTTCACAACATCACTGTTTTACTGTATTTTTGATCAAATGCCGCCTTGCAGTGAGCACAAAAAAAAAACATTTAAAAAAATCTTACTGAGATGAGATATATATGTATGTGTGGGTGCATCTATTGCCAGTCAAGATTTGAACTCCCAACCTCTCGTACTGAAAGCAGGAAATTACTCTTCTGACCCACATCATCACCCTGCACTTTGTCTATCGACAATCCTTCCAGCTGCACACAACACTCTCACACTAGTCTGGTGGAGTTTGTGAAGTGTCTTATAAATGATTGATGGAGACCCTGCAGGAGTTTCCATAAACCCAGAGAGAGAACAAGAAAGCAACCGCATACAAACTGACGTCCATCTTACCCAGTCACTGATGACATTCTACATACGTAGCGCTAAACACCGAAGCAGGTGTGTGGTCAGGTCTGAGGAAGTGTGTGAGTGTGTCCTACAGTATAAGCGAAGGAGAGGGAAACAGAGATGGGAGACGAAGTGATGCTGGCAGACAAGCATGTGAGTCAGAGAGCCCTTCTCCATATCTCCCTCCCACGCTTGCTATTTTTACAGTCTACCTCACAGCATCTTCGACCACTTCGACAAATTCAACACACACATTTTTGGGTCTGCTTGGCTGAGTTTGACTATTTTGACCTGAATCTGCATATAGACATCTGGATCTGGCCTGAATCTGTGTGTGAAAGGACACCAAACAACTCTGTCTGTCTGCCTCTCTTTGCTGTGATCACAGTGAATAATCATTGCACACTATAATTAACTCACACAGCTTCCTGCCTCTTCACTGTTGCGTGTGCCTGTGCGCTTGTTTTTGTGTCCAGTACATTTACTTGTTTGTGTTTTTACTGTGTGTGCAGGTGAACGCCACAAAATAACTGTAGTGCCACTATGACTCAATTTAAATGTGATATGATCACGTTGAGTAGCATCACCTCAGGTCATCTTGTCATTTAGAATCTTTCAGCGTCTGACAGAGAGAAAAAGAGGCTTTGTTGGACTGTATACAGACATGTATGCAACCGCTTCAATCCAATTAAATGCAATTTATAAGTGATAGTTGACCTAAAAATTAAAATCATGTTCAAAACCTGTATGACTCTTCTTCTGTGGAACACAAAAGAAGATATTTTGAACACTGGTGTCCAACAACTTTAAACCCCATTGACTTTCATATGGACAACAAACCCCCTACATTTTTCGAAATATCTTCTTTTGTGTTACACAAAAGATAGTCATACAGTAAATGATGGCAGCATTTTCATTTTGGGTGAATAATCCCTTGAATTATCTTATATATATATATATTTTTTTTTTGTTTTTGTTTTCGTAAATATACACAATTTTTTTTTGCAATATGTCTTTATAAATATATTGGGAAAGCTCACAATGCTCAAGCTCACCTCAGATGTTATTGAAATGTGTAACTGACCACAGTGCTCTAATATGACTGCTTTGGCGCATTTAGGAGCTCTTCTTGACCTTTATTGACCTCTATAAAAATTGGACCGCAAAAGCAAGCCATCAATATCAGACAGAACAGTACGACGCAGTCTGCGACGAACGACCTTAAAATGTCACTTTCAGCACCACATTGGATGGACAGCAATTTGGTTAAATGCCTCGAGCACTGAAAACATCCAGTGTTGCACCCGCATAAATGCATCCAAACTCGGCATGATGTAATATTGCACATTTCTCTGTCTCACCTGATTCGTGGAGCTCTGCGCTCGAGGGGGCACCAGCAGCTGGATCGCGATGTGCAGCGCGGAGGTCAGCAGTCCCGCCACGATGGCCCAGGTGAGAGGCAGCGGCAGCATGCTGTAGGTGGCAAAGAGCGTGAAGAGCACGTACCCTATCCCATCCCCGAGCAAGCCGTAGCCCAGTCCCGTCGCGAGGATCTGTGTGGCCATGGCGACCCAGGTCACCACACCGCTGTACTGCAGGTATCCGTGCGAGCTCGTGTCCTTGCGCACCACCACCAGAGCGCAGATGACCACCTCGATGCCCGTGAAGAAGCCGAGCAGCATTCCTTTGATCGGGTCCATCGGAGTGGACGCCAGGGTCAGGTGCAGCACGAGCAGGGTTAGCTTGGTCACCACGTCCAGAATGTTCATGACCACCACCGACTTCCGTCGCTGGCCCAGGAAGTAGCGCTGGTACAGGCGCTCGAGGTCCCTGGACTTGAAGGCGTAGCGCAGCGTGGGGAAGATGACCCCGCGGTACGTGTAGCCCCAGCTCAGGAAGAAGTCGGAGTTGCTGGGCGCGCAGTCGATCTGCAGGAAACCCAGGTCGCTGCTCGAGCGCTCGGGGAAGACTTTAGTGCCGCCGTTGTTTTGCCGGTCGCTCACCGACGTCCTGCCGGCGGATTGTTTGCGCGAGCCCTCCGCGTGAGGCTCGTCCGGTGAGACGGGTTTCGGGCTGTGCTCGTGAATGAATCGCTGCTCGGTGATGTGTCGCACGGCATTCTGCCACAGCAGGCGCTTCGGTCGGTTCCCGTTGTTGCTGGGGGTTTTGTTGATGGTGTACAGCTCCTCGCTGGCGCTGGAACAGCGAACCTCAGACAACTCCATTGTTCCCACGCCTGACGCGGTTCTATTTACCTACGTGCGTTCCCAGAACAGAGACAGCGAAGACGTGCAGGTGTGTGCGAGGAAGAGTGAAGGCGAACCGGACAGAGAGTGGAGAACGCATCGGGACAAGCAGACTGGTCCCACGGCAGCTGCCGCTCATCATCATACGTCTTGTCCTCCGCGAACGTCAAAGCGATTCGGTCGCGCTGGCTCGTGCCATTTGGCTACGCAGCGCTACAGCATGGCATGCGCCCGCTCGCGTGCTGAAAAACAGCGCATCTTAACGCGGTCTGACGACGAAAATGCCCCCCGTTGTCTGCGTGTATTATCCTTTGTGCTTCTGCAGAAGGTCTTGGTGTGGCTCTTTTCTCTTTATCGCAACCAGGGTGCACATACAAGAATCTTAAAGAGTCCTTTCCACAACGCCATTCCGCCCCTCGCGCGGCACAGTCGAGCCTTTTACAATATGTGGGTCTTCTGTGATATGTTTTCCGCTCAGGAACTGTCTCCAGGAATCTTTGTCATATCCAGAGGTGAGGTTTAGGGTTGGAGGGGTGTTGGGAAGACCTTCCTCTTCGGTAGTTTTGGGGTAGCAGAACCGGTCGCGAAGGATAATGGAGTGCTGAAATCCAAGAATAATATCACATAAAACAAACAGAAACGCTTGTATCAGTCAGTAAAGATACTGAAGGCTTCTGTGATGTTATACAGAAGCATTCAGTGCGTCCGCGCTCATCTGGTGGAGATGGTATTTACACTGAGCGAAAGAGAGAGGAGTGTGTGTGTGTGTGTGTGAGTCTTCCCGACGTCACGAGATCCTTGCCTCTTTTGCCTCCCCGCGCGTAGCTTTTGTTTGCATTGTCGACATTTCTTTGTGCCAATTTTCACTAATTAAAAACTAACAAGCAGACAAAATGTTCTTTGTCCATTAGTTTCACTTTTTTAAGCTATACTTTTCGTAAGTTGCATTATGCATTGTTTATTTATTTCTATTTACATTTTGATGTTGTTTATTTTTGTTCCTAATTGTCCCCATTCTCTTTTCCAAGAGTACAACATCCGTACAATAACTGCCGTCGTTTTCAATAAGAATGTGCGACTTGTCTTGTAAAAATGTCGGTAAAACAAAAACCTAAAAACTCAAATATCAGCTATTAAAGTTATATTGCGCTCATCATCATACGTCTTGTCCTCCGCGAACGTCAAAGCGATTCGGTCGCGCTGGCTCGTGCCATTTGGCTACGCAGCGCTACAGCATGGCATGCGCCCGCTCGCGTGCTGAAAAACAGCGCATCTTAACGCGGTCTGACGACGAAAATGCCCCCCGTTGTCTGCGTGTATTATCCTTTGTGCTTCTGCAGAAGGTCTTGGTGTGGCTCTTTTCTCTTTATCGCAACCAGGGTGCACATACAAGAATCTTAAAGAGTCCTTTCCACAACGCCATTCCGCCCCTCGCGCGGCACAGTCGAGCCTTTTACAATATGTGGGTCTTCTGTGATATGTTTTCCGCTCAGGAACTGTCTCCAGGAATCTTTGTCATATCCAGAGGTGAGGTTTAGGGTTGGAGGGGTGTTGGGAAGACCTTCCTCTTCGGTAGTTTTGGGGTAGCAGAACCGGTCGCGAAGGATAATGGAGTGCTGAAATCCAAGAATAATATCACATAAAACAAACAGAAACGCTTGTATCAGTCAGTAAAGATACTGAAGGCTTCTGTGATGTTATACAGAAGCATTCAGTGCGTCCGCGCTCATCTGGTGGAGATGGTATTTACACTGAGCGAAAGAGAGAGGAGTGTGTGTGTGTGTGTGTGAGTCTTCCCGACGTCACGAGATCCTTGCCTCTTTTGCCTCCCCGCGCGTAGCTTTTGTTTGCATTGTCGACATTTCTTTGTGCCAATTTTCACTAATTAAAAACTAACAAGCAGACAAAATGTTCTTTGTCCATTAGTTTCACTTTTTTAAGCTATACTTTTCGTAAGTTGCATTATGCATTGTTTATTTATTTCTATTTACATTTTGATGTTGTTTATTTTTGTTCCTAATTGTCCCCATTCTCTTTTCCAAGAGTACATCCGTACAATAACTGCCGTCGTTTTCAATAAGAATGTGCGACTTGTCTTGTAAAAATGTCGGTAAAACAAAAACCTAAAAACTAAAATATCAGCTATTAAAGTTATATTGCAATTCGCTTTGATCATTTTTATCGAATTTATCAGGATATTTTGAGCAATATAACATACTTAGCTCAAGCGCCGTTAGCGTGACTCACCGGCTATTCGTCTTTTTCAAATATTTTACAGCTCGAGACCCCAACCGGGGCTGATCAAAGCGGGTCGACAGCCCCTTGCGAGTGACTCATCACGTCCCACGCTCGCGTTGCCGGCTCTTTTTTTAACGGCTGTGGGCTTGTACCATACGATCCCCAGTTTCTTAATGCTTTGCTCACTTCTTCACTTTTTCTGCTTGCTCTGGAAAAAGAAGGATGATAAACTGCCACAGGAAACTCTTGGAGGCAGAGCCGCGCGCGCTCACCGGCTGCTCTGGGCATCCGCATCACCCCGCAGTTACACTCGTTCAGTTCATAGAAACACACAATTATTTAAGTGCACACTTAAGTGATTTAAGTGCACACTACCTAAAAGCAGAGTCGGATCATGGTCCTGCAAACCCCCAGCTCCTATAACCCCTAAAGGCAGAGCCATTATCCAGCTTTAAGTGACAATTAGGGTGATTTGGCGAAATGCATGCTTAGATGACTAAATAATAACTGGGGGTCCTAGTGGTCTAACAGTTCTGGTGTTGCACTGAATGTGGTCCACAATGAGTTCGATAAAACCATGACTCATTATGGAACAGTTCACCCAAAAATAAAAATTTACTCCCGTTGTTCCAAACTTTTCTTCTGCATGTGGAACATACATGAAGAAGTTTACCAGAATGTTGATGCTTTACCCTACAATGAAAACATGCTGTGGTAGGCAATGATCCAAGCTCCAAAGAGGACAAAAGTACCACAAAAGTATATGATGAAACTAGTGCAAACTGCTCATGTGCCATATTCCAAGTTTTCTGAAGCCTAATGATAGATGTTGTTTGGAGGAACAGAAATGAATACACACGTATATTCAAATATGGCATGCTGTGATCAGTTTTATGAGACCGGTGGTGTTTGGCATTACTGGTGTCAAATTGGTGTCTTCATGTGCCGAGTTTGAATATGCTCCATGTTCCACAGACGAAACAAAGTCATAAAGGTTTTGTCATTCCATTAATGTAGCTTCTGAAGTTTCTGCTGGTCCAGCATCAAGTCACCATCAAAACAGTGTCTGATTTATCTTTATTTAGACCAATTACTTGGTCACATAAGCAAGTACATGCTGTACACTACCATTAAAAGATTTAGGGATGGCAAGATTTTTTTAAGGCTGCATCGTATGCTCACCAAAGGCTGCATTTATTCGATCAACAGTAAAAAGAGTAATATTGTGAAATATTATTAAAATTTAAAATACCTCTTTCCAATTTTAAGCAATTTATTTATTCCTGTGACGCAAAGCAAAATGTTCAGCAGCCATTACTCCAGTCTTAAGTGTCACATGAAATGATTCTAATATGCTGATTTACTTCTCATAAAAACATTTCTTATTATTATCAGTGTTGAAAATGGTTTTGTTGATTCATATTTTTGTGGAAACTGTAATACTTTCTTTTTTAAAATTGAAATATTTTGTAATTAGTCTTGTCAAAAGACCCGGTATTTCGGTACCGAGAACCGTGGATTTTCACTGGTATCGGTACCGAATACTGAAATTTTGGTACCGTGACAACACTGTTTGTAATAATGTAAAAGTCCTTACTTTTACTTTTGATCAATTTTATGCAACCTTGTTGAATAAAAAAAAAAAAATTTACCAAAAAAAAAAAAAAAAAAAAAAAAACTTACTGCCCCCAATCATTTGAACTGTATTGTATGTCACACTAGAGATTCCACATATACTCACATGCAAAGCTAAAGTCATGGTCTATGTTTGTCAGATGAGGACTGATGAAAAAATGTATTGTTAAGCACTCACTCACTATTGTAAATACAATGCATGAGTCATGAACAAAACATGAGGAGTGACATACACGTCTTGCTGTATATGACAGCGTCGCTATGCATTTGAATACGGTTTGTGTGTTGAGGAGGAGGGGGGTTACTGTCAGGATGAGTGATGTAAGTGGGCTGATTATACTGCTAATGATTTGATTGGAGGAACTGGTGAAGTCATGAATGAAGACAGAACGTCATTTGAGTGTTTGTCCAAGCGTTGTATAAAAGTATCACATGTTTGGCGAGGAATCAAATAAAACTTATGCATGGAAACGTCTGTGAATGCTGCTACTATCCTGTTATAGACCAAAGCCTGTGTGTGAATGCCTATATGTACATTTTGGCAGTTCATGTGGGTTTGTTTTCCAATTAAAGTGTGACATTTGAGACGATCCCATTGAGGCACTAGAGTCAGATCTGTTTCTATCAATCTCTCTCAGTTTAGTTAAATGTGAATCAGTTGAGAACAGGTCATCATCATGGCTTTTATCGTAAAATCTGCATATTAGCATATTAGAATGATATATCATGTGACACTGAAGACTGGAGTAACAGAGAACTCAGATTTGCCATTACAGGAATAAATTACATTTAAAATATATTCAAATAGAAAAACATTATTTTAAATTGTAATAACATTACTGTATTTCTCAGTGAGACTTATTTCAAAAACATTAAACAAATCTGTTAATATAATAAAACAGAAAACACTATTTTAAATTGTAATCATATTAAACAATATTAATGTTTTACTGTATATCTCAATATCCATTTTATTATCAACTTACCTCTACACATAGACATTTACCAATAGCCATCTAAATGAGGACAACATTCAGCATTTTTAGAATAAAAGCTAAATTAATTTCATAAAAAATTTTTCCAATACATCTGTATATCATATATTCCATAAGGCTCTGTAGTAAACAACAACTACAATGTTCACCCAAAAACAATAACTTTTACTCACCCTCATGTTGTTCTTTTATGATCTTCTGCAAAACACGCAAGTCTAAATCATTGATATATAAACACTAAGACATTTCTCATAGAAAAAAATGAAAGTCATACAGGTTTGGAAGTGAGTAAATGATGACCAAATTTTCATTTTTGGTGAACTATCCCTTTAAGTTGCGGTCAAACTAGGCTTCGAGCATGTGAAATTACATAAAACCCTGCAGCTTTTAAGTTTATGCAGAGGTTAATCTGTTATGTTTACAGTAGAAGCTCTATTCTATCAAATGTCCAGGTTAGAAATCACCAAACTTGAATTTGGGAACTAAAGACAAAACTTTAAACACATGTGCTCGCGTTTCCAGTCTCACACATCCGCATATACAGTATGTATGACTGCAAGTGAATTAAGCACAAAGTCTACTGTAAACGCAGTTTTATAAATCAATTTTGATATATCACAGCTGATAAAATATCAGCATAATCTTGATGTGCTACCTTTTAAATGTGGCGCAGGTAATTGAGTCATCAGTGTCCCTAAGTTTCAAAGGCCCTTGCTAATGCATGAATTCATGTTCATTGATTCACATTATAGGGAACTACGGAGTGGAACGATCCACTCATTTTTCTCAAATTCACCTCACACACCTGTGCGTGTTAAAGCATCTTGATTACAGCAATTATTGGCAGAGATCATGGCTCCATG